TCTGTCCCTTTCTCCCTCTCTGTCCCTTTCTCCCTCTCTGTCCCCTTCCCCCTCTCTGTACCAGTGATTAGTAAAATGATCTTAATGCTAGTCCTGATTAGAAATATGAAAGTTGTGAATCGAAAAAAACGTCAAAAGCAACTTGTGCAAAAACATTTAAAACAGAAGAATACACATTAAAATTATTGAAGTGAATGTAATGGTATCTTTACAAAAAAAAACCAAATGAGTTTGAATCATGTCAGACGACTGTCAATATTTTGTGGTTGATTAATAAAAGAATCGTAATTGAGTTAATAAATAAAAATGCATTCTGTTTCGGTCTCTCATTGTACTTGACTTCAAATAATTTCTTATTGTCACTGATGTTATAAATTTACTGATGTTCAAAGATATTTACAAGGAATGAAGACAGGAATGAAAATTATCAAATTCTAGTGCTCTCAAGTTTTTATTGGTGTCCTTAGCATTTATTTTATTTGTCATCTTTGTTTTCTTTCAGGGTTTTGGTGGAAAATTTGGAATCCAAAGTGATAGAGTTGATAAATCTGCTCATGACTTTAGTGAACAATCTGAAAAAGTTGGCACAAATTATGAGAAACCAAAACCAGACATAGGTAAGTTACAATGAAATTTAATATTGTATCGCTGAACCAAAGAATATCCCAAAATGAGGGTTATTAAGTATTATAATAAAAATAACCACTTGCTGTAGATGAAATATGATTTGTCAACTTACAATTGAATTATTATACACTGAATGAGAAACAAATTATGATTGAATATATACATTCCATTAAAACTTGAGCAAAACAATAATTAAACGGCTAAAATTGTTGTATCAGCCAACTTTTCAGATGAGGGTGTGTCTTTGTATAATAGTTTTGGTGGATGTGTAAGATGACTCAAATGTAAGATGACGGAGTATAAAATAATTTGAATATAAACAGAGTCCTGTTTTCACAAGTTTAAATTAGTTCCACAAAATTAATCTGATTGTAAGAGGAAATTTTATAACTGGAAATTTGTTACAAACAAATGAAATGAAAAAGGTTATATTTTGTGATTGATTTTGGTCTTTATGCTGACTGCATATAGCCTAAGGACCCGATTTGTTAGCATTCTATGTGCATGAGAAAGAAACATAGAACTATTGGGACCAGAGACTACACCACCCGAGGGGGGGTTGCAATCTCCTAATTTTTTTTGATTGGGGGAATATGGGACACGTTGGAGAGATTTCCAATTAATCTCTTCCTTCCTATTGAGTCATTCCCCCCAAAAATTTTGTGCTGGTGATCCCCATTAAGCAGTGGTTACATTTATTTATCTCAGAGGGAACAGAATAAATACACCTCAGGCCAATCAAATTAAGAAGATGAGAATAAAACAGAACACAAACATTTCAATTTATAACAATTGCAAAATTTATTCTTAAGCTATTGAAAATGTTGATACACTGATGGGTCAAAAATTACATAGCACATGTTTTCTTAACCAGCATTTAGGGGTTGGTCTAGTTTCCCTTGCAATTACTAGTTGTTGGATTTCTATTCTGATATTCTCTAACCAACGTTTTACAAATAATTCCAAATTACTTTTTCACTTTTGTCACAAATAAAACCAAAAGCATGTAGAATGGTAGTAAATCTCACCAGCAGGAACAAAGAAGGTTGTTCCTCTTGAGCTCCCTTCTGCTTCCTCATAAACCACTGCTGGGTCGCAGGTGATGTGGTGGCCCTTGATGTCTCGCTAACCAGATGTTCGTTTGGTGCAGCAGCACCCACTTCACGACCTGTGCACTTCTTCTGATGCAATGCTTAGTACACACACACCCTCCTTTCACGTGCATATTCTCAGTGGTTGTCTTTGGTTGGGAATGTTACTACACTTGCTGATGCATGTACTTTGTAGTATTTGTAGAAGTCAGCAGGCACGTTTGTATTTCACAAATATGTACTGCTCATTGCTTGACTGTTGAGGATTTGGGTAAGTTTCTCCAAGTACTATATTGTCATGAGGCTAAGTCGTAATTGACAAAACATTGCATACATTTTCCAAGTACAAATTTTTGAAATCAAAATGAGAGTTCTGGATTATCTCCAAAGTAATTTAAAAGTCCTTTTATTTTCAAAGTAAATTTTATAATCTAGTTAATAAGAGCTGAAGAAGTCTGGAAATGAAGTAAGGAAGTGAGCTCCATGGCTCATGACTGCTTCCACGAAACCTGGGTGTTGGATGTGGGCACAGGCTAGGATATGTGCATAGATTATGGCTTGTGGGTGGGTGGTTACACCATCGCTCTAGTCTTACGTTTACCAACAAGTGTGTGTGAGTGAAGGTTTGTTTTAAATTTAAAGCTGCCTTCAATTCTGAAGAAGTAATTTTCACTCATTTTAGGAAGTGTTAAGCCATCCAACCTTCGTGCAAAGTTTGAGAATCTTGCAAAACAGGGTGAGGAAGAAGCTAAAAAAAGAGCTGAGGAAGAGAGAGAAAGAAGGCGTCGACAGGAACAAATTGAAGCTGAAGAGGCAAGGAAGCAGGAACTACGTCGTCTCCAACAACTCCAACAACAAGAACAACCACAACAAGATGTAAGTGTTATAAGAATAATCTTTGTGTTGCTGTTTAGAAAATTTCACCATCACTTATAGACAGTTCAAATTATGTGTTCTAGTTTAAACAAGAACTTTCAAATGAAAAGAAATTTGAATGTTTCGGCTGTGAAACTAATTGTATTTATATTATGGCCTTTTGTAAAATTGTTTTAAAAATAACTATAGGAAGAAAAATACAATGGAGCAGGTATGTTAAAACTTCTCCAAGTAATTTAGACCATGAAGACTCGAAAATCTGTGTGAGATTCAATATTTTGTGGGCTTCTGTACTTTACGAGATTTTTGTTTCCTTTATTGACCTTTGTTATACAAAATACTTTCATTTTAATAAGAATATAAATATAATACTTAAATTAGGATGATATTTTTTTTGCAATCCTGTAATGAGACTTGCTCTTCTGCACACACTGTTCCACACAAATCTTCCACAAATATAACAGAAGTTATTGGGTTGATTCGCACAATTTTGATGTGAAATCACGATTTGCATTTTATTGAACTGATTCAGTTTTACAGATCATGTAATGAATTTAACATTATAAAAACCAAGAACTGTAATGTATTAATGTATTTGAGGCATGCAAAACCCAGATATGAACTTCACGCGAACTGCGAGTACACTTTCACATGACACTGACTGACTCAGAATTTGCCACCCCAAAGGTTGAATACTCGTATACTTGCAATACGGTAAGGGGCTAAAATAATTCCTTTCGGTGACTGATGCGCAGTAGGAAATAGGTTTGTAACTTGTTTTCGAAACATACCGAAAGCCTACTAATACCACGAAGACCTAGGTACTCGTAATTGAGCGTGACTACCAAACATGAGAATAAAGTCAGCAATCTTCGAATAGAGAAAGTAAGAAGACCCATGAAAACTTAATTTTGTTGATATGTTACGAAAGTGCATTATTAGCAAAATACGGTATGATACTGTATATTTAAAAAACTGTGACGTGATTTGTCGTTTTCATTGTGATGTAGATATTAGAATCAATTATCATATCAATCTACGTGTAAAATTGAGTGTGTTGCACTCTCTACCTTACTGGAGGAAAAAATATTGTTCGCTAGAGTTATTTGTTCGTAATTGCTTTTTGGAATAAAATATTGTGACCGTGGCGATGTTCGGGACCAAATGTGGTCGCCGACTCTCGTCAGGTCACCGGAACTGATGGCCTGGTGTCAAGTTGCGGGTCTATCGGAGGTGTAGCAAAAAGTCGGCGCCCCTTCTCGGGTGAGTTGGCTTCTCGGGACGTCGTCAGCCTAAAGCTGGCCGATGGCGCGGCCCGCACCGTTTCGAAAGGCTGTACCGAGCTGTGCTTAGCCGCCTTCGTCGTTTCTCGTAGGGACGCTACGACGCCGTTTAATTACGACGGACGACGATGCGCCACAGACAACCGGAATGAGCAGGTTCTCCTATCCGCACATTCTCGTCGCCGGACATCTACCGGGCACTACTGACTCCTGCTCCCGTTTGCGTCTGCGTCATCGTCTGCTGCCACCCGTTCCCCTATCTATCATGTCCGTCCGTCTTTCCGGGCTCACGTCTGCGCTCTTCTCCCCAGCTTCGCCACGTCTTCAGTTTGATCGGTCTGACATGGTCAGTGTGAAGTCGTAATTCATGGTCAGTGTGAAGTCGAATGTGAAGTCGTAATTCGTCAGTTACCATAGCGGTCAGCTTAATTAGCGGTATGCTATTATGCACGCACAGGCCACAAGGAGGTCCTAAAACTTCTTCTGACCATTTAATTATGTACGTTTATCTGTGCCCGTTTGTCCGTCTGCCCCAAGTGTCCGTCTGCCCCATGTGTCCGTCTGCCCGTTTGTCCGTCTGCCCGTTTGTCCGTCTGGCCGTTTGTCCGTCTGCCCATGTGTCCGTCTGCCCATGTGTCCGCCTGCCCATGTGTCCGTCTGCCCATGTGTCCGTCTGAGTCCGTTTGCTCGTCTGAGTCCGTTTGCTCGTCTGAGTCCGTTTGCTCGTCTGAGTC